CTCTTCCTAAGGGTAAAATGAAAACGTTTATTACGGCGACAAAGCGAAGTGATTTCCTTCTTCATGCGTCCCCTTTATCGTCTCTTTCAAAATTGATTTCTCAAGGACTCGTTTGGACTATAAGCCACCGCTGGCTATGATAAAATACAGCCGTTTAATCGGAAATTGAAAAATATCAACGATTTATTTTTCTTTTGGGGTTTTCCCTAAAAAAAAAGAAAAAAAAATGATTGAAAAGGAAATCTAATAAAACAAAACTTATATCAAGTATGTCCATAGTCCCTACACGAGTTGAAAAAAGTTCTCGATAACATGATGAAAACATGTTTATTCGGCTACGAAATCGTATACAAAATCGTAAACGGTATATATGTTACGGGCGAAGCATAAAATTTGGGCATTTTATACATTTTCCGGATAAAATATAAAATGCCCTTTGTATGTAGGGCAATATAGATAACAGATTATATGATTTAATGAAATATGATAAATCAATGAATAATCACATGTATTTATATTATTGATTAATTCATCTCAGTAGATATAATTAATTGCACCACCAATCCTTTCTTGGCTGTGTTCCCTTTTTTTTTTTTTTTACACGATTCGCAACTATTTACGTACAGCATAATCATTTCTCTGGTGATATTTTTATATTTTGTATTTACATCGTGTTCCATCCTGTTTCGTTCACCATGTCCAATCGATAAATGAACATTATGTATCAAATTACTCTTCATTATATTCATAATATTTAATTTCGTTGTTTTCAGATACTAGTACAATTAACTTGTTAACATCAGAAACTTTTAACACGTTAAGTATATTTTTTTCAAAGTTTATAATCATTCGGTACCTTTTTCTTTGAATTGCTTTTTAATTGCTTTATATGTAAAATTAATTGATCATAATTTAACATGGTAAAAAATGAAGTATTTGAACTTTTTTTTTTTAACAAATTGTTGAAATTTTTATTAAATTTTTCCATATTTGAATAAGTAGTTACGTACGCACTGAATGAATTAACCTGCACTATATAAACGATTCGCGGTTACTAAATAGTTAATTTTTGAGGATAGGTAAGGCCGACTGCACGATAATCACTACAACTATCTATAATATAACTTATAAATCAGTAAATATACTAATAATATATTATGTCACGTTCACACGTATAATATGTAGATAAGCAGACATCCTCATTGTAAAAATACGATAAGAACAAACAAACTAGTTACAGATAATAATTTGACTTTATTACTACTATGTTTTACGATTTATCATATTTCATTAAATCATATCATCCGTTGTCTATATTTCCCAATATACGAAGGGCATTTTATATACTGTCCGGACAATATATAAAATACCCAAATTGTATACTTTGCCCTAACATATTATAGATACTTGTATATATACATACCACAATAAAATATTATATTACGTCAACGTGATATTTTTTTGCCGCTGATGTGTGTTCTACAACAATGTAGAACACAAAGAATAAATATTAGTAAGGTTTATGACACAAATCACAACCCTTACTAATATTTATTTATTTTCATTTATAATTGGAATCCAAACGTCTCAGCATACGGTGTTTGATGTTCGATAATTTTATTAAATTTCAATGGTTGTGTGTACGCCATGTAAAAATAACGTTAAAATATCGTGTTTATTATAATCTTTTAACTATTTATAATATTATGTACTATATTTACTGCTATATTTTATAACTATTTATAATTATTATATAGCTATTCATTACTATTATTATCGCTCAATAAAACGTACATTGGCGAAATATATCGAAAATCCGAAAATCTTTTCTTATCCACGTATTACGCGTGTATACGCTAATAATCTACTATAACGTAGGAAAATTTAATCTAAATCTTGATAATGCATATCGTATCTACTTCTACATCTAAATTAAATAATTGCTGTGTGGAGGGAGGTGTCGGTAATACTAATATGTATACATTTTATTCCAGTCCGCCGCGAACTTTGTGAAAAAATACAACAACCCGTTTGTCCGCAGCGGACTTTACTACTCCGCGGCGGAGCGGCGTCTGGCCGCGCGGACAGTCTGCTTTCTGTTTGACCGGACTTTTAATATTTCATGTTTTAGGTAAAAAAATAAATAAAATCCGGCTGATAAAAATATTGAAATGCAAAAATATTATAGGTAAAATCAGGTTGAATTATTTATAAATAAAAATGTGAACCGAAAAAAGGAAGAAATACACAAGAAAACATGTATTAAGTAGAAAAACCAATGAAACTTTTTACATGCCAACAAGTACTTCATTAAGCCATAACAAACATGGCGCTGTATCTTTCTCGTTAGTTATATTATTCCACTCACGTAACATATAAATCGTCTCTGCTACTCGCCAGCCATATAATATACCGTTTCCGGTTCAATATCTCTAGAAAATTGTATCCTCTAAGTAAATAGCTATTTCGCCGTATGACACGAAATGTGTTGAATATATTAGGATTTTTTTTTTCCTGTTCTTGTCATCTAATTACTTTGTTTGCGCAGTATGTGATATTGTTTTAACACCAAACATTTGCTGTTAAAATTATTCAACTTATTATTTAAAAAAAAAAAACAATCGTAAAAATACAATAATAATAATAATAATGTGTAAACGAAAACCAAATTATTTTGCTAGAATAATACATTCCGCCAACATAATCTCGTGTGACATACAAGGCATATAATATAATGACGATTTACTAAACGTGTCTTTCCTGAAAATCTCAATATTTATACTCTTTTAAAATGGAGTAGGTGTTTGATCGTTTTAAACTAACACTTTAATAAGCGTACGTGAATCGTACTCGGTGTTCATTCAATTTTTCCACGAGATTCGATTGAGAAACTCGGATGAAAATATAAAATAAAAATAGTATTGAAAAATATTAATTTTAAATTACATAAAAATCATAATTTCATATTCCCTAACACATTGGTTCAAGTTGTTTTTTCCAGTATTGCATCTAGTTATTATAATTATTCAAAATACATAAAATTAGTATATTTTTAACAAAAATCGAATTTGTTCAATGTTCTTACCATAATTTTTATAAAATCTAATTATTTAATTATTATTATTATTGTTTTAATTAGTAATGTAATGTATATTCGAATATCAGTATTCGATGCTACAATGCCTAATTTGTTTTATTCGTTTTTCTATGACAAGCTTTTTTATACTATTTATTATTAATAGGTAATCCATATCTACACAACTAAAGATAATGTATGTCAATGATTAATCGACCTAAATACGAAAATAGTTCTTATCTTGCAGGTACCTGTCCGTAGTTAGCTTTATTTTATTCGTTATAGCCGATAACTCGTAATAAGCATACTCATTGTAAACGTATATTTTAACATACAATCATATGTGCCGTGCCGGGACTTAACGCTTTGTTTGTTGTAAGCAGTATCTCGTTCTAAGCGATACTCGCTATAGTGATTTATAGTTTATACTGTATTAATAATAATTGAATTATGATATTCGAGTATTTTGCACAATTTTTAATTTTTGTATTTTAATTACCCTGTCAAATAGTAAATATTGCTGGCTTCGAATCCACTTTTTGAAGGCTTTTATGCACCATAAGCCATATATTATTATTAAACGTTTTGTGTTGTAAGAAAACTAAAACGAATAATTTTCGTTACGTATTGTATTGTAGCATCGAATATTGATATTCGAATGTTCGAATATTTGAATATACGAATTATTTACGATAGACCTATTCGAATTCTAATATTCAAATAATTCCCATCACTAGTTTTAATATTTTATTGGCTTGTTAAATATACTAGTTTTATCTTGAATTATTTGTGAATACTAAAACAATACATACTTAGATTTCGTTTTGTTTTTTTCACATAATTGTCGTTTAGCCAATAGAAACTCATAATATTTATGTGTAAAAGATATAATTGTATAACTAATTATATTTAATAATGTATTTTATATTTCATGAAATAATGCAACTATTTATTTTTAAATTCACTTAAAAACAATAAATGTACATACAATTATGTTAAAATTTATGGATAAAGTGTATATAATATTTTAAATCTTCTAGTTAATAGAAGATTTTTTTCGATAAAATTTTTTTTCGTCAGTTTTCAATAAAAGATAGACTTATCCATGATTAAATGTATTAAAATTTATGATTCCATGAAATTTAAATTATTTTCAGTAAAAAAAGGTATGATTTTAATTTCAATATAAATCGATTTCATAATGCATTTTATTCCAGGTCTTTAATTAAAGAATTAATTGAGATAACGTTTAATGTAATTGTTATTTAAAAAATTATACAGTTTGTAATGATGAATATTAAAATTAAAAATTAATTAATTATATATACTCCATAATTTTAACTCATTATTGTTTTATGAGCACAATATAGCTTCTGTATTTTATATTAACTTTTCTTTCTCTCTCTCTTGAATTTTTTAAATTTTTTAAATTGAATAAAAATGTTTGAACTTAAATATATAAAAGAATAGTGTATTTTATTAGAAACCTTAACTATCCACATTTACAACGAACTTGTAATAATTATTCAAAAGAAAAGCATAATAATAGATAAACCGAATACATAAATTTATTTTGTAGTACGTTATAAGAAATAAATTGGTGTATTTAATTTACGAATATATTATGAATGTACATGTAAAAATCTGTTAACAATTCATTTGTGCCGATTTACACCGCCAAAAAAAAAAAAAAGGCACATATCTTGTTTTTATCAATGTCTGTGATATACTTTTATAATGATCGAAAATACGGTTCAATCAATGTCTTGATTTTAAACCGGTGGAAATCGAATGCTACTATTTTTATTACTTAAAATCTAGATTGATTCTATAAAATTATCAATTGTAAACAACGGACTTGCAGTCATATTTTAGGTGATTAAAATACAATACCATATTAAAAATTCTTTATTTACTATTCCAGGCTGCAGTTAAAGTGGAAACGCATTCCTGTCGCCATGCTACTAAGCCCAACAACAAAGAAAAAAATCAAAATCCCAAATGCATTGCTTGTGAGTACAATCAAACAAATATACTATACTATATTACTATAAAATGTAAATCAATCTCATCACTCTGTGCTTTATATATATTTGTATAAATTATGAATTTTATATTGGTACATATCATAATAATATAATATATATATTATATAGATGTATAATTTATTTGTTTATTTATTTATATGTATTAATTTACGAGTTTTAACCATTTGCTAATTTTAATTTTATTATATTTTATTATTATTTTATTAAATAGGATAAATAATTCAAATATTACTTATTCACTTAGTGATTAAAGCATATCAAAAAATTACAAAATGTTTGAACTTAAATTTAACATAGTAGTTCCTTTAATACTTTTGATTTGAAATGAGGATTTTTCAAAAACTGCATTTTTAAATCAAAACAAATTCGGAGCTGAATATGCAACTTTTACATTTTTTAATATCATTGGATATACGAGTACAACGATTTTGCACCCCATTAAACTTGGCATTTTTATACATCGAAATTGTAATAGATCGAATTTAAATATCTCCACTGACTAGATCGAGTAATTCATTTCGTATAATATTTTATATTACGTTCTACTGACACCGTCATAATTTATCCTAACTAACGCCTATACTCTACTTTAGCAATGCATTATATCTAAAATATTTATTTCTATGAATTCGAATTCAGAAGATTTCTCACGTTTGACGTTTTTATGTAAATTATTTTCCTTCGTAAATTTATATATGCACGTACGAATACACGTAAGCATATGTACACATAATACTATGCATACACGTAATACATAAGTATAGTGATCTAACATAAAATAAATGTAAAATAATCTATTCTGGAATTTCAGTTGTATATTATTATTATTTTTAATCTTAAACATTTAGATCAGTCGAAAAAGTTCACAAAGTACGTACATGTTGATGTGATGTACAGTACGAATACCACACGTCCTAAATGAAGGTTTTATATCAGATTTTCCGTACTTGCAATGTAAATACTTAATTAATTCTGTTATTGTAAACATCTATGTGTGTGGTACGTAAATATTATTATACTTTATATAGTTCCAACCGTATAAAATTAAGATCTAGAACAATATCAGTAGTAATCATTATATAATTTGGTTAATTCATCAGTTTACATGTCACTGTTATAATACTAAAAATCATCGAAACGTGATAAATCTAATAGTTTTTTTTTCCTTTTCAAGTCGTGTATGATAATTTTATTTTTAATGCATTCATTGGGTTTGAAGTAATTTTTTTATTTTATAGTACTTTCTTGAGACTGTTTAGTGAATATCTCTGACTATATTAATGCACCTTAAAATCAGCCCTAATTATTTCTTACTTTTAATAAGAATAATTTTAGGCGAAAAGTGAATTATAATTTTTTTTCCTCCGATTTACGTTTTTGTCATCGCTACTCATTGTTTGGAGTACTCAAAGTTTTGCTATAGGCCATTGATTGCGAAGGGCTGATGGACGAAGAACAAACGAAACATTATTACTCTTGCACTGACGATTCCGTCATTTTAAAACAATCGGTACGATGATGATCATACATTTTGCGAGCGGTCTGCGAATTATATTCATCGATCTTGTTGTACGAATAACATATTGTCTATAATTTCTATAGATATATGCGTGAACCTATTAAAGTATTAAATATATATATAAATATCTATAACATATAGGTGTGTATTACAGATAGGTACATACAGACGGTTTTGTTACACTAAACTCATTTCAATGGATCAATACTAAGTTTTACGGTCGGTATGATTATACTCGTATTTAACAAATATATATATATTATGATCATGTGTTATAAATCGAAGTAAATGATTACATTTTCGCTATACTATTATTAAACGATTAATGAACATTACGCAATAAGATTTATGTTTATATATATATATATATATAATTATTATTGTTATAATACATCGTCTGACACGTCGTCACGACATCATTGATCACAATAATATTTATGAGATTAAAATATATATGAAGGTCACGAGACCTTTTGTGTGTATGTTTGAATACCTTCCGGAAGTTTCAAACTGCACGCTGACAAAAAGATTCACTGCTATATGTTTAAAAATATTTGCAATATTTGTTTATTTTAAGCATAATTTTGTCAAACATGAGTGATAAGGTGATCAACTATTTTGGTAAATACCGACAGTTTATAATGACGCCTAAAAAGTGTCCAGTAATGTTTTAAGACCGGTCTTACAGCTGCTTTGAGTGAAGTTGATACAACTTTCTGTAACTCTGTAAACAAAGTTTATCGAGTTCTAAGAACTTTCTAATACGCACAAGTCTTAAATAAGCCTGTTAAGCGGGATATTTAAATCAAGTGGAAATCGTAAGAGATGCTAACTTCACCGACGTTGCTACCTGTCTTATTAATGAATAGACTTATTTATGACCAAAAACAGTTACGGTTGAGACTAACAAATAATGCCATACCAATTAACGATGTACATAATTTAAGTCCAGCCAGAACTGATACATTTTTACGGATCCGGGTGATTTTAGCATATATCCTTTAAATTCTTACCTGTCATCAATAAACCAAATGTGCTAAATAAAACTAACTATAGTTCCACGAAAAATTAACGTTATTCATTAAATAAACCTCAGTGTATACTGTCTTGCCCACCATAATGGCAGTCATCAAATTCGTCGAAAACATATGATAATCTGCATTCTATTGGATAATACGTGCACGCGTGTGTGCTCTTCTGGCTCTAAATCGGTTGTTGGTAATTGCGCCACACCCATTGCGAAACGTTCACATAAATGACAGATACTGGCTTTTCAGTAGAGGCGTGCATGTGACGACAAAGTTCAGCCAACACCATCCAGAATTGATTTACGGGAGAGAATAATTGATGGTCCTAGATTAAAAAAGAAAAAAAGCATATATCTTACGCACCACACAAATTAGTAAAATGTACAGTTTACCTAACAACAAAATGATTTTCATGGTAGATTACACGCATACAAATGTTGCACACATTCACTCCCACTTACCATTAATTTGCCGATGACGAGTGTGACATACAGCGTGACGTTTCGGACAAAATTTTAGCATGAGCCCCAGCGATAAGACAAAGTCTATGTAGAAAATTAGAAAATTTTCCTATACATATGAACGATTACAGCGTGCCGCGACGCTCAAGAAGTTTCAGAAATATTTTTTGTATGCTTTATGACTATTAGACTAATGCACTTTTATTTTGATAATAATTATTTCGGAGAAGCTTCCCCCTTCCCCCTCCCTGAAATATATTTTAGATTCGCTTCTGATAGAATGTTTTTTATCTTTGTTGTTGACGCTCCGTAGCAATAGAACCAAATTTGCAGGGTTAGCAGTATACAGCACTTTTATATGAAGTCGATATAATATCGTATTTCTTGTAATAATAACATGGTATATTTACGCCTGAGGTCCTGATAAGTAGAAAGGGTTTCTTGGAAACCAAGAGCCAAGAAAAAAAATAGGACTGGAGATTATCCTCCGAAAACAAGGAATTCACATAAAAAAAATAATTTGAAAAAAAAATCTTTCTCAGTATGTATAAAGAGACTGAACGTTTTCATCGTCGGCGCGATTCAACTGCAAATGAATAAAAACTGTATACCAATATACATCAATAGTTTTCAAGCTCCAGCCCAGCTTGTTACAATCTTATTTGAAATATATCGTATATCTTTTCTATTTAGATAAAACTAGAACGGCTGTAAGTCATGATTTAATCTTTAGGATATCGCTATCGAAAAAATTGGGAAATATGTGAGATATATAAATTAAAGTACCTAACTACATTTAAAAGTTGCATGTTCCTTATTAGTTCGTTATCGATCACGAAACGAACATAATACTCGTTTATGTGTAAAATTACAATTTCATGTATTTCCTTCGTTATACCCTTATAATATGTCAATTAGTATAAAACGTAAAATCTCGGATGAAAGTCACGTTTTTCAAGAAAAATAGACCAATAATTATATTTTTTATTCAAGTTTAAAAAAAAGCTATATGTCAAGAATCTATTGCAGTGATGAAAGAATATAATTTAAAACGACATTATGATTACAAACATGTAGCAAAATATGCTGTGATACTAGAATAAGGTGACCAAACGTCCCGTTTTAATCCCGTTATTTCCATATTATTTATTATACGTATGTTATTAATGCTTGTAAATAAAATATCTACGTATGAAAAAATATAAAACAGTTTTACTCGTATATTTAAAATGTGAAACCAAAGTTAGAAATAACGGATAAAAGTTTTTGTGGAACGAGCGTCAAGTCCCGATGCCGACGAACTATAAAATTACCGATTTAATAATTTAATAATAATTAAAAGAAAATATTTTATTATTTAGGTTATTTTACTAAAAAAAAGATAAAGTAAAAAGAAATTAATTGTTTATGATATGACAGAAATTTGGACTTTACATAACTCTCGAGATTTGTGACCATATGTGTTAACGTATATGAATGAGGTTTTTTATTTGGGAGGAAAGGAACAGCTGTCCCGTTTTTTTATTTTCTTAATATGGTCACCCTATACTAGAACAACTTCGATTTGACGAAAACTTCATTAAGACTCAGAAGCTAGGTTGTGTCGAAACTAGTTATATCATAGAACGGAAATTTGCCGCTTTATCGAAGCCATTTACTAATGTAAATCTTTTGAAAAAAAACTACTGCTGTGGGAAATCCAGCTAAAAAAATAACACAACTAATTTTCTATATTTATCGGAATACAATGTTACTTCAACGGAAAATACGCAGAATCAATTTCTGATTTAAAACTCCTGTTTTATTCGAAGTTCTTAGATTTCAAAGTTCATGAAAAGTTTTTTAATTTGTTTTCAATTTCATTTACATTATCAGTTGAATCAGCCCCAGAAAATATACAAATGGAAATCGCTGATTTACAGAACAATAAAATATTAAAAAAAAAGTGCAATCGCG